ATATATATATATATATATATATATATATATATATATTCTAGCGTTACAATACATTACTTATACATGCCTAACTTTTTTTTTTCTTTTTTTTTTCTCTTTTTTCTTTTTCCTTTCTGCCCATCTACCCCAACACCAAAATATTGGTTTGCTCAGTTTCTTTTAAAACCAAAAGCTGAGAAGGGCATGGGTGAGGGACCTACCACTTTGATCCAGAACCCATATTCTTAAAGATGACAGATACATATATTAAGGTTTTCATACAGGGTATCGATATTTATTCTTACTGAATCAATGACCTACCATATATACTACATGCATATAGCCTCTCTATATATAGGTTAACTTTTAGACCGCTGCTGCACAAGAACAAGCACAAGGTGTTTTCTTATTAGTTTTTCGTTTAAAAATGGGAAGGATGACATGCTGTGAGAAGGTAGGGTTGAAGAAAGGACCATGGACACCCGAAGAAGACAAGAAGCTTATTTCTTATGTTGAAAAACATGGTCACGGAAACTGGCGTTCATTTCCTGCCAAAGCGGGTAATACAACATCTCCATACCTTAGTTTTAATCTCTTGTGAGTCTAAATGTTCTTGAACCATCGAGGAACCAACGTTAATTTAATTCCTAATTTTATTTATATATGCTACAAACATTTATATATAGATCTTCAAAGGTGTGGGAAGAGTTGCAGACTGAGGTGGATTAACTACCTGAAGCCAGATATAAAACGAGGAGACTTCAGCTTGGAGGAAGATCAGACCATTATTCAACTCCATGCTCTTCTAGGAAACAAGTGACGTTTCATTTGTTTTGATTTTGAGATTTTTCTATTGTTTTAGATCGAATAAGAATTGTATTGTATTTATATGCATGTTTATATTGACGTACAGATGGTCAATCATAGCAGCACATTTGCCCAAGAGAACAGACAATGAGATAAAGAACTATTGGAACACCAACATCAAGAAAAGACTCATCAGAATGGGCTTAGATCCTATAACCCACAAACCAATGAAGCCCAACACGTTTGAAGGCTATGGTGATAGTCATGATCACTCCAAGGACAGCATCAATATGGGCCACGTGGCACAATGGGAGAGTGCTCGAGTCGAAGCTGAAGCAAGAGGATCTATGTTGCAAGTAGGATCTGGATCCTCACTACTCCCTCGACTATTCCTAAGCAAAATTCCAACTCATCAACCTCTTTCAACCCAACACGGGACAATGTATAACATGTATGCCCTAGTGCTTGCAATAAATCATGATATTAGGTCATCGGTATCCACTTTGGTATCCCTAAGTTTCCCACCCTTACTACCAACATTGGACAATTCACGGACGCGGAAAGCTCACGCGGTAATGTCATAGAAATTAATAGTCAAATTCAAAAAGAAATGAAAAATTATGTGTCAGACTTGAAAGATGATGATGACATTATGGTGGCTGTGGAAGCATTCAGAACAGCAAGATGTGAGAGTATTGAAGAGTTGTTTAACGGGTCCACTTCCATGGTAATATAATAACTTTTTTTGATAGAGATTTGTAGAAGAGTATGGAAATGGAAAGTGCTACTTGCATATTCGGTTGAGTGTCTCACCTTCTCTTGCAAAAATTGGTCAACTTTAACGATTCCACTGCTTATGTTTTGATGTTACGTCTTTCAGTGTGCCTTGAACTATAGTTTATATGACAGGTGCTGAATTGTCTTCAGTATAATTTTCTCGTGTTTTGATGCCAGTGTTGAGCATTCCATGTGTTTAATTAAGATCTAGTTTCCTTTATATTTAATGAACTTTTTCTCTTATAATAAAAAAATTACTGTGAGGCCATGGTCAAGAGGTTCCATGTGTCACCTATCACATCTCTTGTTTCTATATATTCTTTATTCCTATAAATATTAGCCACGTTCATGTAATCCTATGTTATGAAAGAGATGTATCATTTATCTTATTATAATCTATCATTTAAAATTTGTAATTATGTCATGCTTTTATATAATACTAAATTTAAACAATATATATATATATATA